GGCCACGTGGGGACCGCTTGGAGGCGAGAGCACCAGGGCCCACGCCCCAGAGGGTGTTTCCAGGTGCCGACGATTGGAGAGTACTGTCTGTCGAGCAGCAGAGCCCGGCAGGAGGCCTGTGGAGTGTCACGCAGCGATCAAAAAGAGCAGAGCGCCCCGGTAAATGTGAAAGGGAATCCCTGTACGGCCCAAAGATCCCCTGCAGGGCGCACACCCAGGAGAACGGAAGGGAGACTTGCACACCCATGTTCATGACAGCGCCATAGACAAAACCAGACGGTGGAAGCAACCATGTGGCCTGTCCACACCATGGAACATAAATGAGCCTTAAAAAGGAAGGAAATCCCGACACCTGCTACAACGCGGATGAATGTGGAGGACACGGTGCCGAGTGAGATCAGCCCGGCGCCCGGCGCAGAGGGACCGATCCCAAGGGATCCACTCTCCGTAGGCCCCAGAGGAGTCGGACCCACAGAAATAGGGGCGGGGCCGGGGAGGGGTCCGTGTTCAACGGGGACGGATGGAGGGCGACGGCTGCCCAACAGTGTGAATGTGCTTGACGCCCCTGAGCTGTGCACTTAGAAGGAGCGAGGACAGTAAACCTCTGCGCTGTGTTTATCTTCCTACAACTTTGAAAAATGTCATAAAGACAAAAGAGAACAAACTTGGAAATGTTTAAAAAGAGAGCAGAAGCCTCTGTGGACTGATCGGAACAACCCCCAGCGTGCGTCAGCAAATGACACACGGGTGCCGGTGTGTGCCCGCCCACACGTCCCTAACACGGGCTACCCGCAGGGAGGAGATGGGCTGGCTGAGGCCGGTGGGGAAGGACCCCCACAGGACACCCATCGGAACCCTGATTTTGAGCCATGTAAGTATCTTTCCTGTCCAAAGGCCAACAATGAAATTTCATTACACAACAAAACGTGAGAGGCCCACTTGCCTCTCCTCCAAGCCCTGATCTGAATGTGTGTCTGCAGGCGGGGCCTCAGCACAATCCACCTTTCCAAATCAGCGTCTGGCCCAGGTCCCTGGACAGAGATGCACCTTGACACTGGCCCAGAAGAGGCTGCTGACCAATCAGTCCGATGAGCAGATGCCAAAAATGGGGTCTGAGCCCTGTGGCATCCTCGAGGCTCCTATGGCATCCGTGGCTTTGCATAGGGCCCAAGGCCCTCCAGAGGCCCAGCTTCTGTATTTAGATGTCTGATTCCACCAGCTTCACTGCGACGACCCAGCCCCATGGCCCTGGGGCCAACACCATGGCCCGTGGGACCAAGCTCACCCATACCGTGGAGCTACCATCCTACCCCAGACCTCCCCTGCCCTTGCTTGTCCCAAGGCCAGGCCTGGCTCAGGTACACCCGGGCCCCACATCTCCTGCAGGCAGATGCAGGAATGGGAGCGAGGGTACCTGGAGTCCCCCAAGAACCCGTGGTTCTTCAGCACAAGGCATGACCCAGTTCAAGCAGTAGCTCGAGAGGGGTTTGCCCAGGAGGCCTCTCCCACCCCGGCATGAGTCCCACCCAGACACAGGGCACACACCTCACTCACCTGTGCCTGGAGGACAACAATTTCAGGTTGTTTTCTGGAGTAAGGGTCACCATGACGCCCTCGATGTTCTTCGAGGCCTTCTCCAACGCAAAGCCCTTCTCACCTGAGGCCACGGCAAGAGCATACCAGGACCCCAGAAGCTGGTGCAGCAGGAGCAGGTGAGGGGGGGCCAGTCCCTCCAGCCCTTGGAGGCGTCCTCTCTCTATCTGATCCCAGAGCTGGCGCGAGAGCTGAAGCTACAGCTGCCCTAGTCTCGGGAGCTGCGGCTCGCATCGGTGTTGGACCTGGCTCGAGCTCCGGGGCAGGTGCTAGAGCTGAATCCCCCTCCAGAGATGATCTAGACCCGGTTCCGCACTTGAATAAGGCTCTTGAACCCACGAATGGCTTTCCTTCCCTGGCATTTCATAGATGACAAAACTCAGGATGGTGATGGGACCGGCTAAATTGGGGTAATGGCTACGGGGGAATTCAGACCAAGGATCCTGCATGCCCTTCACCAAGCTCCCCACGTGAGTGGGTCCTGAGCTGCCAGATAGGGGCAAGGGCCGGACCCGCTGCTCCCGGCAACTGATCCCGCTGAGCAGAGACACTCGCCGGGGACCTGAAGTCCACGTTTGACCTCTGCTCCGGCCCGCCCCACACGAGCAGGGACCGTGCTTCCTCACCGCTGGGTCCCCAACCCCCAAAACCGTGCCTGGGAGGTGGTAGCACTTCACATTTTAGTGAATCAGTGGGATCCCCCAGCAGCCCCGTGATGCGGGGGATGTTGCTTACAGATGAGAGATTTGGGCCACAGACTTGTGTTCACTCTTTCCTCCGCTCGTGCATCATCCCCACCTGTGTCTGTTCGCTGGAATGCAGAGGGGACCCCCAGACACCCTCCCTGTCCTCGGAGCTCCCAGCCTAACCGGTGGGTCAGCATCTCACCCACAGTCAGCAAGTGGGCAATACAGAGCTAGAGTATCTCTAGCACGAGGCCTTGCACGAACCGTGGGGAGGAGCCAGCCCTGGTGGCAGCTAAGATCTAGAACCATCTGACGCACTAGAACGTGCCCAGGTGCTGACTCGAGCCAGCCATGGAAGCAGCTCGAGAGCCAGAGCCAGTGCCCCCACAGACTAGAGCCCCCAGCTCCGACCCGCCAAGCCCCTCCAGAGGCAAAACCAGCTCCGGCATGAGCTCCAGAGCAAAGCCATCTGCACACCAGTTCTCCCACCCAATCCGGCATCGTTGCCAGAGTGAGAGCCAGCCTGAGAACGAGAGCCACTTCTCGAGGCAGCTCAGCGCTGCTGTGGGAGGCTGTGGGGGTTTCCTCTGAGAAGGCACAGGGCCAGGCTGTGGGGATCAGCACAGGGTGATCACCCTGGCAGGGTGGTGATCTTCTCTCCTCCTGCTGCTTCGGCACCATCTCCAGATGGAGGACTGGCCACTGCAGCAGGGCTGGTCACCACTGCAGCGTCGACGCGGCTGCAGAAGCAGCTATAGACCCAAAGCCCGCTCCAGAGCTCAAGGCATTTCCATCTTCTCCTGCGGTGCCTTGGCCGGGAACGTGGGAGCTGGAGCCAAGTGGGCCCCAGTGTGAGTAAGCCCCCTGCCCCTGCAGCCAGCTCCTGCCCCCGCTGCACAGACACAGGGGCGCCTACCACCTGGGAAGCTAGAGCAGATGCTCGGACCCGCGGCAGAGCGAGCCTTACCTCCACCCATAAAGCCAGAGCCGCAGCACACAGCAGCCCCCGCACCGACTGCGGACGACGGCCCCCCCGATGGCAGCTCCCGAGCTGGCGGCCCCTCCACCTGCACGCCTGGAGCAGCTCCAGAGCAGCAGTCTTCTTGCCGCTGGTTTCTGCACCAAATCTGGCAACAATGCCAGCCTGACAGTTCGCTGAGCCTTGGAGTCCGTTCCAGAACCAGCTCGAGCCCGACCACCGGGGACGGAGCCAGCTCCAGCACAGCTCCAGCTCACGTCCTGGGCTGGTTCCACGGCAGGAGCCGGGGGCATCCCGGCATCGCCCGCAGCTCCGGCCCAGGGCTCGAGCCCCTCCGCCCAGGGCCACCCGTCACCCATCTTTTTATTTTTTTAAAGAGAAAATTTTTTTTAAACATTTTATTTGGTAGAGAGAGGGAGAGAGCACACAACCAGGGGGAGCAGCAGAGGGAGAAGGAGAAAGAACCCCCCCGCTGAGCAGGGAGCCCGAACCAGGACTCGATCCCACGACCCTGAGATCCTGACCTGAGCCGAAGGCAGACACTTTAACTGACTGAGCCACCCAGGTGTCCCCACCCTTCACCCTTTTCTGTTACATGTTTTATGATATTTACATTTAACAGTTACTATGTAGATTCAGGAAAAGTTAAGCCTCCGTCACTTTAAGCTCTACCATTCAACGCTACCTCCTCGGGCTCCTTGCATGAGCTCAGGCTTGGGTCAGATTGACCGGGGTTCAAACCCACAGCGGGGCCACATCACAGCCCTGTGACAGGAAGCTCCTATGGGAACTCTTGGAAACATGCCTGGGGCCACGGTGTGGGGAGGAGTAACTTGCCAGGCTGAAGGCCAGGGGTCCCCACGATGCCCAAAGGGCTGCCATAGGCACCCACATTCCAGAGACAGCCCCCTACTCCCTTCAATGGGCTAGAGATGCTCCAATGATCAAACTGTTCTCCCGCTGTATCCCTACATGCCGAGGATGTGGTAGAAAAGCCAACAGTGAGAGCCATTTCCTACACTGCAGACTCGGGGTCAGGTCTCACCCCTGACACCTCTGGCCATTTGCCTGGAGGTACCCAAAGGTAACAAGGGAGGCCCAGAGCCAGCCAGGCCAGTCAGACACCGCTGGGATCCGACTGTGCAGCCCCAGCTCTCCGTGTGTGTGCGTGTGTGTGTGTGTGTGTGTGTGTGTGTGTGTGTATAGAGGTCTCATGCAGGGTGATGAGGGGTCCGATGCCCGGTGGGTGGATCATGTTCACACCCCAGGTCAAGGCTGGCTGGGTGCGATGGGGTGTGGGGGGCTGCGAGCTTCTGCCCAGGGTTTATCCCGAGAGCTCCACAGGTATGGGTCACCGTCTGGGGTGTTGGGCTGTGCACGCACAGGTGTGTGTCTGATCTGGGAGCAGCAGGGGGACTGGACAGTGTGACAGTGAGGACGGCCGGGCAGGGCTGTGATGCCTCCGGGCCGGCTACCCCTCACTGTCTTTGTAGAAGTCAATGGATGTAATCGACTAGAGGATGGCAGACACCCACTCCATCTCTATGACCTGGGGCGTGACCCCATAGGGCTTTCCAGGAGCAGGAGCAGGAGCTGGGGATTGCCAGGGAAGGCCTCTGACATCACCCAGACCACTGTTTGTGGTAGTCGTTCAGTGGATTGTGCTCTAGGAGCCGGATCCTATGGAGGCTGACCCCGAGGCTGAGAAGCCTGGGGCTGGGTGCCTGTGGGTGTGTGGGGAAGGGTCGCTGTGCTGGCCCCACAGC